GTTGTCAGGGAAAAAAAGTTAATTTTGTCATTGGAAAAGCTGCCATTGATTAGATATTTATTTACCTTTATTAAGTTGTTCTTCAAATCATCTTATTATATTATCCTTGCCTTTTGGTTAAAAGGTTTTCTTTCTGCAGAATATGCCTTCCACGAAGAAAATACTTCTTTTGTTTTGTAGTGAAACTTTTGGAAATAATTTTATCCAGAGACCTTTCAAAACTCTAGCCTTCAATTGCTTACAGAAAAGAGTTTCCATTACTTGAGTTTTACAGAGAAATAAATGGATGACTCAGAATTTCCCAAGTTATCAGGTTGATGTAAAAAGATGATTTGTTTCTCTTCCGAAAATTTGTGACATTATTTACTGCATCGCAGAGGGTAGGATAGTGAAAAATTATCTGTAAGAAATGACTTCTTAGAAGAAGAAAAAAAAGAAAGAAATTTGTACGAACTGTGTTGGCCGGCCCAAGACCAAGGGCATAAGTCAAAGGATAAGTCCATTGCGCAGTTTCTGTTTACCTCGTTAGCTAAGAGAATATTTCAAATACAGATATGATTTTCTCTTCATTTTTCCGAAGAATAGCGTTGATAAGAGCTAATCTTCATTTTCTCTGGACGATTAAGAGTCAGTGTTCAGCATTCATAATATGAGAGATTGGTTGTGCTATTGGCATTATTTATATTAACCTTATTAGTCATAATTACAAATGTGGCATATCTTTTTTGACCCCAAGATCCTTAAAAGATTTCACTATTCTTCTGACTTTGTATTCTCTTGTGAAACTTGTTGGAATGGCGGGGAATTGTGGTATTGCCTCCATCCAAGTTTCAAGCCTTAGAATTTCCGGGAAAGAAGATTTGGTCATTATTGTACGAAAAGCAGCGTGATTATGATGCTTGATTCAGATTTCAGATAAGTCCAATTCAAAGCATTGCGTTAGTCAGATTAAGAAAATATTCCAATATCTGAGAGGCCAAACAGATGCAGGAGCTTTCTATTGCATATTCTGCTTATATTAGAAGGATTAACAAGTTGCTTTACGTCCTCCTGTTCATGGTCACTAGAGAGGCTTTTGTAGGTTGGTAGAATATTACTTTGAACCGTAACATAAAGGTTAATTTAATTAGGGGGACATTTGGGAAGCGCATGCTTGCTGGATTAAAGGCGTCATCTCTTTTATTTTACAACCTTTAGTGTGAGAATTGAAATATCCTGTGTTTTTTCATGCAAATGAGGTGCATGGTATGTAGACTTGGAGCTTTTGGTCTGGTACCTTTGCTTCAGGTAATAACACTCGTCCTCGGGGTGTCAGCATAATCACTTTATCAAAGATAATTTTTTTGGGTTAGATATTATCTACTTGAACAATTTATTTATTGATATGGACGAGAAAATCGCCATTGAGCTTAAAACCTTAGAGCTTTTTTTTATTTTGTTTTTCTCTGATTGATTGATAAGTTAACCTCGGAGTCTAATGAACTGAGTCCTGCCTAGAGAGACACGGTTGAATCCCTGATTACGTACTACTCGGTTATCAAGAAGATGTGTCAACTAACTGATGTTTCATTCTCTTGGTGGCAAGGAAGAGATCTTTTCCTAATTTTATATGATGGACCATTCCTTTAAAGGCTTGGATTTTATAAAGAAGTCTAGGACGAGATGCTCTTAGTTTCTTTAACTGTGTCCCTCTTTTCAATTGTTTATCTTTTGAAAGTGAGGCACATCTGAAATTTGTACACTGCACATCCATTGTGTGACAATGTGCTAATATTTGATACAGAGGTTCTTCTGTGGTACCTCGTCCACTATGTCTGTTGGGACTTGGGAGTTGGAGTGCTGTACTTTTTCCGACGTCGTTAAATTTGTCGCTGATTCATTTCTTTCTTCTGCAGGAATCTCTCAGATGTTTTGCTGGAGGCAATATCAAGCGGTAAGGTACTGTCACTGTACCAAGGTCTGGGAACCAAGAACTTGCAATCTTTCATTGCCCAGTTTGTGTATTTCTATGGATATAGCTACTTTAAGAGACTCTATTTGGAGAGAAGTGGTGCCAAATCCATTGGAACAAGAGCCAATTTGATAATTGCAGCTGCAGCTGGCGCTTGTACAGCCCTAGCAACTCAGGTAAGCAGTTTGTAGATCACCTTTAATTTGATTAGTTTCTTGTTAAAGATTAGTTGGAACATGAAAAAGAGTAGTGTCGAAGCTCTACCTTATTCTTTTTTTTCGGGTTAATCTCACCTGTATGTTTTAAGAAGGTAGGACCTACTAGTGAGCTTGAGGCTTATTATTATGCAAGTGCAAATGCTTCTTGAGGGACAAGCGAGCTTTTTGTCTGTTTGAATATGGCAGATAGCAGTAATGCATATCTGTTTTTTTTTTTTTCCAACGGGAAGGAACTAAGAAAAGCAATTGTTGAGACACTGAAACTAGTTTTATGTAGTGCACATTTTACACCTCCTATTCATAGTGCTGGCACATAGACCAGTAAAATATTAGTGGAGCAACTTTCCAGGTTGCTCATTACTGCTGCCGTTTGCAAAAGAACTAGTGCAACTCTCTCAATTTTAGATTGTTTCTATCTAAACACTAAATGTCTCTGATGTCTAATCCATGGTCATGGTGTGATATAAACTCATGACTTATGGTAAGGGTTTTCTGTGCGACAGAATTTAAAAATGGAAGATTGTAGGTGCAAGAGCCAAAAACTCATTGTTAAATGTCCATGGCTCTTTTTCCACTTCTTTATCATCAGATTGCATGGATATTTGCTAGCCAAAAGCATATTATGTAATATAATCTCATGTAACCGAGAATCACGCTGCTCAATTGGATTCTGATGCTAAGTTTTTTGATATTCTTCTGTAGCCACTGGATACTGCTTCCTCAAGGATGCAGACAAGTGCCTTTGGGAAATCGAAAGGCCTCTGGAAAACACTTACAGAAGGTAGTTGGAGTGAAGCATTTGATGGCCTTGGAATTTCTTTACTGTTGACATCCAACCCTGCCATTCAGGTACTTAATATTCTTTAAAAACTATTTTTCTTGTAAATTGAATAAGTAACTAGTTGAATTAGTGTACACAAATTTGGTTGAATAACTTGAGACACTGTTAATTCAAGTAATGTCATTATACGTGAAGCCACAAGTTTCTACCAATTAACAATAGAATATGCTAAAATAGATGTTTATGTGATGCAGTATACAGTTTTTGATCAACTTAAACAACACTTGCTGAAAGGTAAAGAGAAGACGACAGAAAAAGATTCATCGCCTGTTGTACTTTCTGCATTCTCAGCTTTTGCATTAGGTGCGCTGTCAAAGAGCATAGCCACTGTTCTAACATATCCAGCGATCAGGTGAATCTCTTTTGGATTTTATCATTGATTCACGTTATTTCAAATCCAATGTAAGCCTTCTAACATCAACCTGAAATCAGGTGTAAGGTCATGATTCAAGCTGCAGACGATGATGAGGATAAGAAGGCTGAACCGAAATCAAGTAAGACAATCAGTGGTGTCATATGCTCTATCTGGAAGAAAGAAGGTATCTTGGGTTTCTTCAAGGGATTACATGCTCAAATCCTCAAAACAGTGTTAAGCTCCGCATTGCTTCTAATGATAAAGGAAAAGATTTCCGCCTCAACTTGGGTCCTCATACTTGCACTTAGGAGAATTCTACTAATCAGGCAGAGAAGGCTAAAAAGTACATAAATCGTTTACTTGTGATCAACTGTGCTGAAGTATTTGCGGATAATGACTTTGATGAGAAATCAGCAGAAGAAAGAAAGCTAATTGCATTGTTGCAATCTAAGTATTTAGTTTCAAAGGTGGAGAAGATTCATTGTTAAACAGCATTCAGGTCCATGGCATACAACAAATATGATTACAGGCTGCAACATCTCGAGCAAATGATGAATTTAAGACAATAAGATGATAGTTTTCAGATTTGTTAGAAGAGAATAACCTGACAAGAAATATTTGTTTATTCAATAATGTAGGAGAGAAACAATCAACATTTGATTTTCTTATTCCCCAGTTAGTTGGTTTCTCAATATGAACTTGGATCTGTTGTTTAAACTGAATGAACTAATTCCTCAAAGTATACAAGGAGATCGTTTTTTGTTTGTTTGTTTGTTTTTTTAAATTTTATAATAAAACTCGTGTATATGACGATGAAAACTCTAGTTGTTTTAATGGAAAACTAGTCATTTCCGTTTGAAAAATACAATCACAGGTATACGAAATTCTATATGCGTGTACTTAATCTTCAAATTAGTCAAAGAAAAACTCAAACATTTTATATTCCAAACAAAACTGACTTTCAAAGGAGAGTTTGTTTAAGACTGTTTTAATTTGTTAAACAAAAATTTACCCATATTCATTTCATCAATAAAACCACCTCTAGATAATTTATTATAGCTTTTGCATGTTTTCCCATTAAAACTCTTACAACAATTTATTTGTTTTTGAAACTTCCCAGTTCTCCATATTTTTTTCCACAAAAAAAAGAAAAAAAAAAGAAAAAGACTTTTATAGGAGAATTGTTTTAAGACAGTAACATGTATCACGAAAAATCTAGACATAGTCTCGGGTAAGTACTCCTTCATCCTTAATCGGAGATCTCGGGTTCGATTCCTTGGGTATGGAGTCGCCTTTGTTAGGACTTAGGAAAGCTTTACCTCAATGTGGGACTTCTCGGCGCGAATCCGGATTTAGTCGGGTCCAAATATGAATACGGGACACCGGGTGGGAAACTAAAACAAAATTCTAGACATGGTCCAACAATAAAACCACATGTTCATTTTGTATTTTAGCTTTTTCTTTTTTTCCTATAGGAACTGTAACAGCAATTACAAATTTATTTTTTGAACTTCAAATATTTACTTATTGTTTTCTTTTTCTTTTGAAAACGTTTTCCATAAAAAAAACATAAAAAAATGAAAGATTCTCGTCTAAGTTTCGGAGTTGGGACCCATAACCCAAAGCCCAAATATGACAAGATCCATAACCCCTTACCGGAAAAAACCAAAAACCGAAAAAAAAAGGAGAAAAGAAAATTAAAATAACTAAGGAAACAAATAGAAAGAGGAGGATCACAGATCTGTGTCCGAAACTGAGCTGAAAGAATAAATTTGCATATACAGTTTTATACAGAGAAGCAACGAAGATGATGTCCAGCAATTACACCGCAATTGATAATCAGAATGTTTCCGGATCTGTTCCTGTAATTCTTTTCTCATTTTTTTTGTTGGTTTGATTGAATTATTATTCTGGCCATCGTTCAGATCTAATTGTCTAATTTCTTATATATTATAGGCAGTCGCAGATCCACCTGGCCAAGTTGCCGTCAAATTCACTGGTAATGACTTCAGATTTTTAACAAAATCGTACAGTAATATTTTTGTGGATAATTTTGAGTTGGTTTGCGAAAAATTTTGGGTTTATTTTGTCATTGCAGATTCGAATTTGCAGACATTTCCACCTTCCAGTTCCCAGGGGAAAATCTCTGGTGCTTCTGGACCTCCACGTGATGCTGACGGTATCTCCTCCTAAGTTATTCATTATACTTACCACGTAAAGGCGTAATAGTGTGTTGCTATTAACTAACGTGTGGTTTCAGCTAAATTCAGCTAATTTTTTTCTGCAAAAGAAAGGAAGGAGGGGGGGGAAGAAGCAGGATTCTTTAGAATTTAGACATACAAGAAGCAGAGCTAGTGCAGCTTTTAAGTTTGTCTTTAGATCTTTGTAGTTCATGATCCAACACTTACTTGTCTTTGTAATAGTGATATAAGCACAATGATAGTGCTTAACATTGCGTTATGAAGGGGCTGTCCAGCATGTTTCAGCATTTTTAATTCAACTAAGCTGATGTTAAAATCTTACACACAGCTAATTATGCTATGGCTTCTTTCAATTTGAAATTTTTACTTCAATCTTGAATTCAAATACACATTCTTCCAACAATGATTTTGAATTCAAATCTGATGCTATACGAGGCAGTAAGAACATAAGAAAGAAATTGTTTCGCCAGTACAAAATTGGAAGCACGAATGGAATTTTGTGTAGACGTATAAATCAAAATGAGGTGAAGAAGAAACCATTTTGCCAGGGTAAAATAAATACAAGGAAGTCCCAGGATGGGTTTCGAGGGATTACAATAATGTGGTTATGTTTAGTCTAGGTATACCTAGTTCCGTACAGGTTGTCTCATCCGGTGCTTCTTTTTGATAAGGTAAAGTTTATTGATGCGAACAGCAAAATGCTGCTTAGTTGCATATTCAAAAAAGTATGTGCATTACAAGTCATTTAATGAACGGAGGAAGTATTTTCCACAGCCATGTTGTTTGAGTTTGATCACAGTATCTTTCTTCTCCTAAAAAAATTGCACGTTTCATCTGGTGCTTCTTCATAGAGTTTTTGTTATCCCTAAAAAGAGTTAACTCTCAAAGCTTAACTGAAGGAAGTTGCGAGTCATGCTATTGCGTCCTTTTCATTAAATTATTAGCAAATCTATTTTTCTATCTCCACTTTCCACGGTTCAGGTTGAATTTACTTCTCTTTTTAGATAATAATTATGACTTCTTGTTGTAGATACATTCTCTAAACCAGTATCTGGTTCTGATGAGCCCCAGCAGAGCGGTTGGTTTCGCGCTTTCACTATTGCTGCGTACAAGCCCTATTTTGATGTTGATACCTCTGATGTTCTAGAGAGAATAAAAGATTCACTCTTTCCTTTCACGGGATCCTTTTCGGAGAAGACTGCCGATAAACCAGATTTGTATGCTCCCTGCTCTTTTATTTCTATGTTTATTGAATTAGCATTTATTCTCGTGTCTTAATCCTAAGTATAACTCTTATAAAAACTTATTATGAGTAGTTATTTCCTGGAAATATAGGCCTTTGGGCTTCTACTGTTATTAAATGGCATTTATATAATTCTTATCCCATTCACTTCTATCAATTCTCTGCCCTTTTTTTCCCGTTTACCACGGATGAATAAAGTTGGCAGTTTATAGGAGATCAAGAATATATCTTGCTCCCAGTAACACTTTCTTCTTCTTGACTGTTGTTGTTCTAATTTTTTGTTATGATTTTGGATGAGATGACCGTTAATTAATATCCCTGTCTATCAATTTCATCCTACAATATTCTCATTGATCAGCTATTTAGTCCTCGACTAAGAGGCATTTACCTGCTCGGAGATTGCCAATGAGCTACCAATATGCTTAACTTGTTCGAATTGAATAGTGATTTATTGTGGAAACTTCCATGCATTAAATGCAGGCTGTAACGGGTTTGTGTAAATTCAGGCTAATGGATATGGAACAATTCTTAAATTTAACTAGATGGAGTTTGTTTCAAATCTCTGACGGTATATTTTGAAAATTACCATTAGGCATACAGAAGAACCAATATGAAAAATTTGGGCTGGTTCTTTGTCATTTTCCAGTTGGAATTTGTCCAGCGCCTTGTACTGAAGCTAGTGAGTTTTGTGCAAGTCATCAGATTTCCTTTCTAGAATTTATGTGCTTTCGTTTTGATTTCTTCTTCTATCCCTATATCTATCTTCTATTATATAGGATTGTTTAGACATTCCGTTTACACTTCAGAACTGTACCTTCATGGACAAAAAAGTAATAATCATCAAACAACCTACTAAAAGAATTTGAAAAAGAAAAGAACAGTGATTAGCAAGAGAAGTTTTGCCACTGCTGCCCCTCTATACGTCTTTAGCTCAGCTTTACATGCTCTCTGAGTAAGAAGAAGCTTGTTCAGAACTTGCCTGCAGGGAAGTTTTGCTAAAGGGTGCAGTGCAGGAACAGAAATGATGTCTGCAAACTTTGCATCTAAACTTAAACTATTGCTAGATGCTTATGCAGCCATTATCTGTACTGGGTGGTGTCTAGACTTCTTTGTCCCTTAAGATGTTATGAGTGTATGTTTCAATTATTTCCATATTAGCAAACTTCTCTGCCGTAATTACTCAATTTTTTCTTTTCAGGTATGGCCCGTTCTGGATATGCAGTACCTTGGTATTTGTTGCAGCTTCCATTGGCACATTTGTTACCTATATAGCACACAAACTACAGAACAAGGAGTGGAACTATGACATCAACCTTGTCACTTGGTCTGCGGGTTTATTCTATGGTTATTCCACTATTGTTCCTCTTTGCTTGTTTCTAGTCCTCAAGTACTTCTCTGCCCCATCTGGCCTCGTTCAGCTGCTGTGCCTTTACGGCTATTCCCTCTTTGTCTTCATTCCGGCATTGGTAAGTGTATTTAATTACAGTATACTTTGTTGAGCTTTTGGGAAACCTGTTGGTTGATGAATCCTTTCACTATCATTTTTAAGTTTGCCATTAGGATCCATACTTAGATCTATGATTAACTGCTTACAGTGTCTCTCTCTTCTTCCCTGGGAGATAGTGAGATGGGTGGTTGCTGGTGTAGCTGGCTTCATGTCTGCCACATTTGTGGCTCTTAATCTGAAACACCACATAGCATCGGCTGGTGAAAGGTGGTTCTTCATTGTGGCTGCTATCTTCCTGTTGCAACTTGCACTTGCTTTGGTACTGAGGGTTTACTTGTTCAACGTCACAGTATAACTACAAAATTATTGGAATTTGACTAGGCTCGGTTTGAGCTTGTCATATAAATCACAGAGAAAGGACACTGTTCTTCGTATCAACTTGACTGTAAGTGTGCTTGGTCATTGAAACGGAACTGTATTCATTCATTTTTGACGATATACAATAATATAGTTTCATCGAAGGTTCTCAGCTTGTGTCGTCTTTTTGAGAATGTTACACTTTTGAGCTTTAATAGTGGTCTGGGAGTTCCAGGGGTGGATGATTTAGTCACAAATCCGTGTCTCGGGGATTTAATTCTAATGTCAAGATTTGTTAGTAAATTCTTAAAATTCCACTTACAAGATATTCAAACCATGCGGGAAATACCTTTTCTGACTTTGCTTGCTCCATTGGCGGTCAAAATAACGTTGTAATAATTAACTACAGTTTTCTCAACCCTTGCGGCTGCACTCCTTAATTCGACTTCTCTTCATAGTCAGATCATTCGTTGTGAGTATAAGAGAGCGATCCACAGACCAAAGCAAGAAAATTATGGTGTGTTATAATATATTTACGACTTTGTTAGTTTCTTTTTCAGTTTTTATCTTGACATACGAAATACAAATTCAGTTCATTCAATCTATTAGTTTTTCATTAGCCAATGTATATTTAAGAAGACCAAATTAGTAGGACGAATTTATAAACTATTAAAATATCCTCCTTCTCTAGGTAAATTACCAAGTCCGCTAAAACAAAGGAAACAACTATTGCAAGCAAATTATGCGTTAGCATATACAAAGATCCCATTATAATCTCAAAGTCCCTATACAATAGTAACAACACGTATTGTGATCGTATCTTAGAGCTAAACTAAAGTGTCAATGTTGGTGGAAAAAATATTTTGTCATTAAAAAAGTAATTGCCATAGCCATGTACTTGCTATAGGTCATGATATATATTTGATGTCTTCATTACATATAAAACAGTCAAGGTTCATTTTTTATTGGGCAATAAAACTACGAGGGTGGAAGGAGAAAGGACATTTTTCTCAAGGTATATTTCAAAAGTATACAGGATTTTCAAAAACCAAGAGGGCGGCTAAGTGCTCATTTTCCAATGCTTAATTTAGTGCATTAGAGGTACTAGTTTGCTTATTAAGAAAATTAGGCATTAGAAAAAGGAAAAACAAAGTTGCCCAAACATGGTTTTGCCGCTTAAAATTTCAGTGACATACATTCCTTTTGGTAGAGCGATTTCCCTCTTCAAAGAGGAAGTGAGGGTTTGGAACCCAAATAAGAAATTGAGAAAAAATCCACAGTTTTCAAGACCACTGTTCAACCAAAAAATAGGAATTTCGGCCAAAGCCTATTTTTAGAAGTACTCGGGTTACTAATAATCAAGAAAATCGATAGTCTTGCAATAAGAAAGGAAATCAGAATAACAAAGTAATCATTAGAAAGCAAAAGTAAATAATTGTATTCCAATAATACTCAGAACGTGTCCATACAAAGGACATTTCTTTTCCTTATATAGTACTCCCTCCGGTCCAAAATAAGTGATTTTTTGGCCTTTTTCTTGTGGTCCAAAATAAGTGATTTTTTCAGATTTCAATAATGAATTAATTATTTTTTTCCTACATTGTCCTTGGAGTAAATAGTGTTGGAATATGTGTTAGGAGTGTTTATGTGAGATAGTAAAGGTTAATATGGTCAATTCCATTGCTAATTAATGTTAAAAGGTGAATTTCTTTAATCTGTCTGAAAACATCCAAAAAATCACTTATTTTGGACCGGAGGGAGTAATCTCTAAGTACAACGTCTTTTCCCTTTTATGATCGAGTCATTATGAGCATTAATGACATTAATGAAACGTTATAATTGGCAATCGTAACTGTTTCGCGAAGATTCTGTAACATTTGTAATCATTCATGCTCATTAATTGAAGACCAATGAATCTGTCATTTTTATTGTCTTTGTTCATTCCACTGGTGCCTCTTCAAATTGCTAAAGAGACTCGAACTACCGTTTTTTCTCGTCTCTTAGACGTTTTGTTCATATCTATTAAGACTCACGTCTTTTTTAATACTCTTCTCCAGCCGTCGCTTTTCTAGTGATCCACATGTCTTGCTATGTCAACCACATAATTAATTTCACGTGTAATATTTATTTTCCCCAATACAACCACCAAGTAATAAAATCATGAAAATAAAGAAGGGTTTAACAGTAATTTCATATAACGTTTATAAATTTTAAGAGTCCAAATTCATTTAACTATTCAAATTTAAATTTAGAGGATATGTCTTCTTTATTTCATCTACTACTCAAATTCATATATATGTTAAATCAAGAAAATTGTCTGCTAACTTCTATGTAAAAATGCTATGTACCGCATCATATATAAGTTAGAAATTATCAAGAACTTAGTACTCTAGTAATTAATTAACATATTGGAGAGTTGAGCTTTTGCAAAGAAAGGCATAATCAACATGATGCAAAAGAAACAGTACTAATAACTCGTTTTATAATTAAACAAAATATCACAAGATTTTATAGTGTGTGAGCGAGAGAGAGAGATGCCTCAAATTAAGCAAAGACAAATCCAAGTATTATGATAATTAAAGTACAAATCTCTACTTTTAAGAGAGGTGCCACAAGTAAGAACAAAAGAAGAAACAAAAATAGTATTAAATCAAGGAAGAAGTCTAACTCAAAATAAAACAAAACAAAACGCTAAAGATGCCTTTATGAAAAATGTGCTGTTTCTTCAAAGGCAAGAACCCTTTTGATTATGAAATCAATATTGTACATAAATCAGGTCACAGTCAACACAAGAGCTAAACTAAGTTGTACGGTACCTAGATATTTGCACAAACATTAGGGTTTTAGTCTTTTTTTAATTAGGGAAAGAGAGAAAGATGTGCAAAAAAGGCAGAAACAGCCTAAGCTAGAGTCAAAGGTTAGATCCTGAATTTAAGGTATGTGGCTTTCACCTAAAAAAGCTTATTGGTAGAAATTTCTAAGAATTTTAGACATGACTGTTTGGCTGACATTACACTTTGTCATCATCCATATTTCCATACTTCTCCAAGATTTTTACTTCTTTAAAATTATTCAATCAAT